CATGCTTAAGCGGATTTCAGTTTTAATCCCCAGCATGGCTGAGAATATTGCCAAATAACATTTATTTTTAATGACATAAATGGTGTCCCTTTTCTCTTGGACAGTGAGATGATAACCATCTTCTCAAATTACACAGCGTAAACTTCCACGTGTTTCAATCAATACGGTAGTTAAAAACTTCAAACAGAAAGCTTCACAGCAACCACACTGGCAAATTAATTACAAATAAAAACATATTCTGAGCAGGCAAAGTCTGGGATGGACTCTTATCTACAGGAAGACAACAACTCATAAAAATACTTTTAAGGTAGACAAATGCATGACTAGATATAAGACAATCCTCTCAACAAATGAACAGTGTCAGCTGAGGATGAAAGCTACATAAGTCTCCAAAAATGGACAGACTCGATGAAACAGCTACATAAGTCTCCAAAAATGGACAGACTCGATGAAACAGCTACATAAGTCTCCAACAATGGACAGACTCTATGTAACAACTACATAAGTCTCTAACAATGGACAAACTCTATGAAACAGCTACATAAGTCTACAATAATGGACAAACTCTACGAAACAGCTTCATAAGTCTACAACAATGGACAAACTCTATGAAGCAGCTACATAAGTCTATAACAATGGACAAACTCTATAAAACAGCTACATAAGTCTACAACAATGGACAGACTCTATAAAACAGCTACATAAGTAGCAACAATTGACAGACTCAATGAAACAGCTACAGAAGTCTCCAACAATGGACAGACTCGATGAAACAGCTACAGAAGTCTACAACAATGGACGAACTCTATGAAACAGCTACATGTCTCCAACAATGGACAGACTCTATGAAACAGCTACATAAGTCTCCAACAATGGACAAACTCTATGAAACAGCTACATAAGACTACAACAATGGACAAACTCTATGAAACAGCTACATAAGTCTACAACAATGGACAAACTCTATAAAACAGCTACATAAGTCTACAACAATGGACACTCTATAAAACAGCTACATAAGTACCAACAATGGACAGACTCAATGAAACAGCTACAGAAGTCTCCAGCAATGGACAAACTCTATAAAACAGCTACATAAGTCTACAACAATGGACAAACTCTATGAAGCAGCTACATAAGTCTATAACAATGGACAAACTCTATAAAACAGCTACATAAGTCTACAACAATGGACAGACTCTATAAAACAGCTACATAAGTAGCAACAATGGACAGACTCAATGAAACAGCTACAGAAGTCTCCAACAATGGACAGACTCGATGAAACAGCTACAGAAGTCTACAACAATGGACGAACTCTATGAAACAGCTACATGTCTCCAACAATGGACAGACTCTATGAAACAGCTACATAAGTCTCCAACAATGGACAGAATTTATGAAACAGCTTCATAAGTCTCCAACAATGGACACAAACTACAAAACAGCTATGGAAGCTTCAAACCATGGACACACTACATGAAACACCTACGGAAGCCTCCAACAATGGACCAAAAAAAAAAAAAAACAGAAGTCTTAAACAATGACTGCCCCCCCCCCCCCCCCCCCCCTCAACAAATTTTTTTAGAAGAAAGAGAAAAGAGAACATTAGGGTAAGAAGTATAAGAATGAGAACACTGTGAATCAAGGTATGAGAGGAAGAACACTAGGGTAAGAAGTATAAGAATGAGAACACTGTGAATCAAGGTATGAGAGGAAGAACACTAGGGTAAGAAGTATAAGAATGAGAACACTGTGAATCAAGGTATGAGAGGAAGAACACTAGGGTAAGAAGTATAAGAATGAGAACACTGTGAATCAAGGTATGAGAGGAAGAACACTAGGGTAAGAAGTATAAGAATGAGAACACTGTGAATCAAGGGATGAGAGGAAGAACACTAAGGTAAGAAGTATAAGAATGAGAACACTGTGAATCAAAGGATGAGAGGAAGAACACTAAGGATCAAGGCATGGGGACAAGTGGAAGCATATTATATTAACTAAACAAAGAGTTTGTCTTTGGTGTGCTCTGTCCAAGGGCTGCTCACACCCTGCCACGTGCTGTGGCTAAGGAAGGTGTGACCTGTGGTGGCAAACCTCTACCTCGGCCCCTACCTCTTCCAGCTTCAAACAACTGAGCCTGGTTAGGCAAGGAAAAATGCGGCATAACTGGTGCTCGAACCTGAGAGCTCTCCAGTACAGGCCTGACAAAACTCTGGAACATTTACAAGAATAAATAAAATGATAGAAAGAATGAAATAAAAAGCATATGCAAATGGGGGCTAAATAACAACGAAGTATTTGTACAGGGCACTGACTACATATATTTGTGGAACAGGGTCAATGTATTCTGCAGGGCATTGTGTAGACATGTATAAGGGCATTGTGTAGACATTTATAAGGGCACTGTGTAGACATGTATAAGGGCACTGTGTAGACATTTATAAGGGCATTGTGTAGACATGTATAAGGGCACTGTGTAGACATGTATAAGGGCACTGTGTAGACATGTATAAGGGCACTGTGTAGACATGTATAAGGGCACTGTGTAGGCATTTATAAGGGCACTGTGTAGACATGTATAAGGGCACTGTGTAGACATTTATAAGGGCACTGTGTAGACATTTATAAGGGCACTGTGTAGACATGTATAAGGGCACTGTGTAGACATGTATAAGGGCACTGTGTAGACATGTATAAGGGCACTGTGTAGACATGTATAAGGGCACTGTGTAGACATGTATAAGGGCACTGTGTAGGCATGTATAAGGGCACTGTGTAGGCATTTATAAGGTCACTGTGTAGACATGTATAAGGGCATTGTGTAGACATGTATAAGGGCACTGGGTGGACATTTATAAGGGCACTGTGTAGACATGTATAAGGGCACTGTGTAGACATGTATAAGGGCACTGTGTGGACATGTATAAGGGCACTGTGTAGACATGTATAAGGGCACTGTGTAGACATGTATAAGGGCACTGTGTAGACATGTATAAGGGCACTGTGTAGACATTTATAAGAGCACTGTGTAGACATTTATAAGGGCACTGTGTAGACATGTATAAGGGCACTGTGTAGACATGTATAGGGCACTGTGTAGACATTTATAAGGGCACTGTGTAGACATGTATAAGGGCACTGTGTAGACATGTATAAGGGCACTGTGTAGACATGTATAAGGGCACTGTGTAGACATTTATAAGGGCACTGTGTAGACATGCATAAGGGTACTGTGTAGACATGTATAAGGGTACTGTGTAGACATGTATAAGGGCACTGTGTAGACATGTATAAGGGCACTGTGTAGGCATTTATAAGGGCACTGTGTAGACATTTATAAGGGCACTGTGTAGACATGTATAAGGGCACTGTGTAGACATGTATAAGGGCACTGTGTAGACATGTATAAGGGCACCGTGTAGACATGTATAAGGGCACTGTGTAGACATGTATAAGGGCACTGTGTAGACATGTATAAGGGCACTGTGTAGACATGTATAAGGGCACTGTGTAGACATGTATAAGGGTACTGTGTAGACATGTATAAGGGCACTGTGTAGGCATTTATAAGGGCACTGTGTAGGCATGTATAAGGGCACTGTGTAGACATGTATAAGGGCACTGTGTAGACATTTAAAAGGGCACTGTGTAGACATGTATAAGGGCACTGTGTAGACATGTATAAAGGCACTGTGTAGACATGTATAAGGGCACTGTGTAGACATTTATAAGGGCACTGTGTAGACATTTATAAGGGCACTGGGTAGACATGTATAAGGGCACTGTGTAGACATTAATAAGGGCACTGTGCGGCACTCGTACATCTAATGTGAAGGCACTTTAAAGGAATAAAGGCACTTCAACTGGGTAGAATATATATATAAATATATTCCGTCCAGATGACTGGTGGATCCGAGTTGGGAGTTTGAAATTCTGTGATTTCTAGAATGGACTTGTGTCGGCCAAGTGTGCGGGGGCAGTATGTTTGTAACTATGTGGCAGCTGGTCTGGGTTTGCACAGCAGGTGCTGGGGGGAACTCTGTGTATGTTCACCAACATGGAGATGTAATGGGGAGGTATCGGAGGCTGAATAAAGGGATGTTAGTCAGTGATGCTTTATCGAGTGGCTGGAGTAGCAGATGGGAGGTCTGGAGTCTTTCATCAGGGAGTCCTCGGTGACTGGGCCTTTTAGGCAGAACCATCAGAAGAGTGTCACAGCACGTCACATGGGTGTGTCTGCGGGATCGAGTGTCAAACACCCGTAGCAAGCACCTGGTACATAGTTCGCTGGGGTGTCTTGTCCATGTCTGGAGAGACTGATGATGTCAGTATTTGGCAGGTAGCAGACTTGACAGTGAGTCATCGATCACCAATTCATCTTCATTGCAATGTGTTGGTTAAAGAGACAGATCACACTCTAATATCATACTTGGTGTGCTGCATTATATTACAATACTCGGTTACGATAGGACATGTTACACATGCCTGTCTTATAGTGGTGCTTTTATTGGGTTATAATCACCACCAGTATTTACCATGCCAAAGAAAGTGGGCAGCCATGAAAGAACTCTGTGTGTAGATGTGGAGGACTCACATTTATAAACAAACCCTTAGATACTTGGCCAGAGGGTGGTGCATCACCCGGTCGCAGGCGTCAAAGATCTACATGATTATATATGAGGTGATGAACCACACGTGGGCGTGCACGAGGACCAGGGCTCATACTGGGTCAAGACCCACTGAAATCTCTCTGTGATCACCCGAGACACAGTTTCCCAACCAGGGGCCCGGCCTGTATAGACACAGACATGTCACTCAAAGCTGGAGTGTGTCTGCCTCAGAGGCCAGGAACTGGCAGCCTGCACACAAATCAGCCAGACCTGTAAAACTGAAGTGTGCGCACATGTGAACAAACCTCAAGCCCTGGACCAAAGTCCAAAAGTGGACAAAACCAAGACTTTCCACCAGAGATTACAGCATGACCACAAAGAATAGATTCATATATGCCCATGCTTATATCTACACGATAATGAACAGTTCATTTTAAAGATCACCTTCATCCCACTCAGACATGACCATAAGTGCTCCGATCTCTTCCTTAGTACATCTACAGGTGCTTTTAGATAACAACTTCCATTTTGTTCAGGTGATGAATGACGAGATGCTAAAGTGGCACCTTCAACAGAACCAAGATCACAAATACATACCTGGGGACGAAACAGAGAATCTCCAGGAAATCCAGGTCGAGGACCAAAACCAGGTGGAGGCCTTATCGAGGTCGAATACTGTAAACGGCTCTGGCTCTCTCCAGGTGCTATTGCTAGAAGTTATAAAAAAACAATACATGTTTAATTGGGAAAAGGGCGGGGGGGGGGGGGGGGGGGGGGGGGTCTACCAAGGCTTGATTTTCAAAGCTTTCAAAATGAAGTTGCCCAATTGTAAATTTAATGAGCAGACTGCACAAATGAGGGCCTGGCATATTTTACTACATATCATCAAGTGCATACTCCAATAACAATGACATCAAGTCATTCGGCCTACCAAGCCCTTGAGGTTCATTGCTGCGGATATCACCCACCTCTATTCACCTCTGTCACTGGACTTCTTTTTCCACTTGAAGACCCTAAATGTTTGTAGATCCTCCTGTATATTATCTCTCCACTGTCTTCCTCATGCTCTACTCTTAATAAATGAATCCTTTAATTGAAAAACAAAAATCCACCAAATTCAAATTTAACTGCCAGTTTTACGAGGGTAAACACAAGTTCACAACCATGTCTTTTTGTCTACGCAAAAGTAGATGATCTAGTTAGATAGTGACTGCTTCAGTGAACCAAAGCAAACTACGATTGTTCAACATATACAAACTATACATATATTTACTCAGAATATGTTGTCTTGTTACTATATGGCTAGCGTTTAACGGGTGACGCATGATGGACAAGGCATGAACTTATTTCTTCAGATGATCAATTCTGATTTTTTAAGAATTGAGAATTGGCTATGCAGGCCCATCTAATATTCCGAATGTCCACTCTCCCAACACACATCTCCCTTTCGTTGCTCAGCTTCTGAGTTGAGTGCATGACGTAACACTGTGAGCTGTGGATTTAATTTGAACTGTGATAAACATTTTATGTGTTTTACGTTGGCACAGGAGCGGAGCAACTATGGGGCGACCCGTTTGCTATAAAGCTAAAACTAAGATTACCAGAAGATTACCAGATTACACATCTCCCTTACCTCTGCTGTTTGGTAATGTCCGCTCTCCCACACACACACACACACATCTCCCTTACCTCTGCTGTTTGGTAATGTCCGCTCTCCCACACACACACATCTCCCTTACCTCTGCTGTTTAGTAATTTCCGCTCTCCCACACACATCTCCCTTACCTCTGCTGTTTGGTCATGTCCGCTCTCCCACACACACACATATCTCCCTTACCCCTGCTGTTTGGTAATGTCCGCTCTCCCCCACACACACATCTCCCTTACCCCTGCTGTTTGGTAATGTCCATTCTCCCACACATCTCCCTTACCCATGCTGTTTGGTAATGTCCGCTCTCCCACACACACACATCTCCCTTACCCCTGCTGTTTGGTAATCTCCGTTCTCCCACACACGCTGCTCCCTTACCCCTGCTGTTTGGTAATGTTCACTCTTCCAACACATATCATCCTTACCTATGATGCTGGGTAATGTCCAGTCCCCTAAACAATTATCTCCCTTACCTCTGATGCTTTGTAATATCCACTTTCCCAAACATACATCTCCCATATCTGTGCTTTCTGGTAATGTCCATTCTCCCAAACACATACCTTGCTTACTTCTGATGTTTGGTAATGACCATTCTTGCAAACAGATACCTTGCTTACATCTGATGTTTGGTAATGTACATTCTCCCAAGCACATACCTTGCTTACATCTGATGTTTGGTAATAACCATTCTTCTAAACAGATACATTGCTTACATCTGATGTTTGGTAATGTCCACTCTAATAAACACACATCTCTCTTACCTCTGATGTTTGGTAATGACCATTCTTCCAAACACATACATCTCCCTTACCTATGCTGTTTGATAATGTCCACTCTCCCACACACAAATCTCCCTTACCTCTAATGTCTGGTAATGTCCATTCTCCCAAACACATACCTTGCTTACCTCTGATGTCTAGTAATGTCCATTCTCCCAAACACATACCTTGCTTACCTCTGATGTTTGGTAATCTCCACTCTGACAAAAATCTCCCTTACCTCTGCTGTTTGGAAATGTCAGCCCTCTTCCAAATGCTGAACTCATGACAGGAGGTAATATTGCTGAAATGACACAATGTTGTTTAACTGATAACATACTGGGAACATGCTGAAATGACACAATGCTGTTTAACTGATAACATAGAGGGACTATGCTGAAATGACACAATGCTGTTTAACTGATAACATACGGGAGCCACTGCTGAAATGATACAATTTTGTTTAACTGATAAAATATTGGGACCATCGCTCAAATGACATAATGCTGTTTAACTGATAACATACTGGGACCCTGCTAAAATGATACAATGTTGTTTAACTGATAACATACTAAGACCACACTGAAATAATCCAGCTGAGTTGAGTCAAGAACTGACATCACAGCACTCAGGGCATTCCCATAAGTGCTCTGTCCTGATCTTCAGCAGCCTCAAAATAATTCCAATTCTGATGGTGCCAGGAACAGTCTGATTATTGATGTCCATCTTGCCTTTCCTGTGAAACTGCCTGGTCGCTGCCTGCTGCACCAGTCTCTTCAAAACATGATGACCATTTATTTGTGCTTGGGCACTTCTCACTCTTAAAGGGTCTAGACACCATCTAGCATGTCATGCATCAATTTACCAACTAGTGGTGCAGAATTAGCCAATCTGTCTACTTGTTCATTACCCAACACACCTGAATCATGTGGAGAAAATATTACTAGCTACCCAGGATTTCTGAAGCAATGCTTGCCACTCCCAAACAGCATGCTTGTCTCCACCTTTTCTCGGCATGGTTTGTAATTTGTTACAATAACGACATGTCTGTACAGCTGGCTTTCAAATCACAGTAAGGCTATAGCGACTGCCTTTGCTTCTATTCTCAAACTGATGTGCAGCTTTTATTGCACTAGGAGTCATAAATCCCTTTTGCCATGAGCCATCATGCCTCTCCACAGGAGTCATAAATCCCTTTTGCCTTGAGCCGTCATGCCTCTCCACAGGAGTCATAAATCCCTTTTGCCTTGAGCCATCATACCTCTCCACAGGAGTCATAAATCCCTTTTGCCATGAGCCATCATGCCTCTCCACAGGAGTCATAAATCCCTTTTGCCATGAGCCATCATACCTCTCCACAGGAGTCATAAATCCCTTTTGCCATGAGCCATCATACCTCTCCACAGGAGTCATAAATCCCTTTTGCCATGAGCCATCATGCCTCTCCACAGGAGTCATAAATCCCTTTTGCCTTGAGCCATCAGGCCTCTCCACAGGAGTCATAAATCCCTTTTGCCTTGAGCCATCATGCCTCTCCACAGGAGTCATAAATCCCTTTTGCCATGAGCCATCATACCTCTCCACAGGAGTCATAAATCCCTTTTGCCTTGAGCCATCATACCTCTCCACAGGAGTCATAAATCCCTTTTGCCATGAGCCATCATGCCTCTCCACAGGAGTCATAAATCACTTTTGCCATGAGCCATCATACCTCTCCACAGGAGTCATAAATCCCTTTTGCCATGAGCCATCATATCTCTCCACAGGAGTCATAAATCCCTTTTGCCATGAGCCATCATACCTCTCCACACGAGTCATAAATCCCTTTTGCCTTGAGCCATCATATCTCTCCACACGAGTCATAAATCCCTTTTGCCTTGAGCCATCATGCCTCTCCACAGAGACATCTGTATAGAAAATGGCATCACCTGGGTGAGAACTGTCATCAATCAGTTGTTGCATTTCAAATTCTGCAGTTCCTGCCTTACCAGCTCAATGTGATTAGATCCATACACAAATCTGACTGCCTCTCAGTCATTTTGACCCAATCCACTCTTTACCTAACGTGATTAGATCCATACACAAATCTGACTGCCTCTCAGTCATTTTGACCCAATCCACTCTTTACCTAACGTGATTAGATCCATACACAAATCTGACTGCCTCTCAGTCATTTTGACCCAATCCACTCTTTACCTAACGTGATTAGATCCATACACAAATCTGACTGCCTCTCAGTCATTTTGACCCAATCCTCTCCATGTCCAATAAAATAACACAAAGTTGTTTGATTGATAACATACTAGAAACTTGTAAGAATGACACTATGCTGTTTACTAATGATTTGTGCCACTTTGACCTTATTAACTGTTGAATTAGCCGGGTATTTTGCTTGCTGATACAAATATTGGTCAAAACATTTGGCTGTATTGGTGCACATTTTTCTCCCGTTGTCCTGTGAGTTTTTTCTAATTGCTTACCCAAAGGTCTGTCTGTCAGTCAAAATACCCACTGATCTATCTTTTCATAACCCTCTTCTCGAAGCTCCTCTGACAGCTATTTCCAAAGATATAAACATATTATCAAATCTGGAGATAATAACCCCCTCCTCCCCCCCCTTCCCAAAAAACTGTGGAGAAAATACAAACACTTCTTAAGAGTCCCCGTGTGGGTTCTAGAGCCCCACTTCGTGGGTGAGAGGTGGGACAGGGGATTGACCCACTAACGAGCATGTCATAAAAAGGTAACAAATTAGGGGCTGGCTGAAACCACAAGTGTTGAGCCAAAAGGTACAGCCTTGCTGTAAACCACAATGCAATATACAAACCAGCATTTTTAAGGGTGAATGCAGAAGAAGAAACAACATGGATAAAAGAAAAGCATATTCTCATAAACTGGAGAAAGTAAACACACAACGTACAGAGACTGTTAGGTTTCCGCAGTTCCTTCAGCTCAAATGGTGCAGGTTTGGGTTGAAATTCACTATTCATCGTCCTCTTCTTCTTCTTCTTCTTCTTCACTGTCTGATACTGTGACCTGAAAGAAACAAAACATTGGAAATAACTGAGTTGTTTAGGGTTCTTGTTGGAGCAGGGGACATTTCATTGGATGTACGCAGTCTGGGCACAAACCATTAAATACCACATTGGACTTTTCATTGGATGTACAAAGTCTGGGCACAAACCATTTAATACCACAGGGGACTTTTCATTGGATGTACATAGGCAGGGCATAAACCATTAAATATCACAGGGAACATTTCATTGGATGTACGTACTCAGGACACAAACCATTAAATATCACAGGGGACATTTTATTGGATCGACGTACTCAGGGCACAAACCATTAAATATCACAGAAGACATTTTATTGGATCGACGTACTCAGGGCACAAACCATTAAATATCACAGAAGACATTTCATTGGATCGACCTACTCAGGGCACAAACCCTTAAATATCACAGGGAACATTTCATTGGATGTACGTACTCAGGATATAAACTATTATATCTCACAGGGGACATTTCATTGGATGTACGTACTCAGGGCACAAACCATTAAATATCACAGAAGACATTTTATTGGATCGACGTACTCAGGGCACAAACCATTAAATATCACAGAAGACATTTCATTGGATCGACGTACTCAGGGCACAAACCATTAAATATCACAGAAGACATTTTATTGGATCGACGTACTCAGGGCACAAACCATTAAATATCACAGAAGACATTTTATTGGATCGACGTACTCAGGGCACAAACCATTAAATATCACAGGGGACATTTCATTGGATGTACGTACTCAGGGCACAAACCATTAAATATCACAGGGGACATTTCATTGGATGTACGTAGTCAGGGCACAAACCATTAAATATCACAGGGGACATTTCATTGGATGTACGTACTCAGGGCACAAACCATTAAATACCACAGGGGACATTTCATTGGATGTACGTACTCAGGGCACAAACCATTAAATATCACAGGGGACATTTCATTGGATGTATGTACTCAGGGCACAAACCATTAAATATCACAGGGGACATTTCATTGGATGTACGTACTCAGGGCACAAACCATTAAATACCACAGGGGACATTTCATTGGATGTACGTACTCAGGGCACAAACCATTCAATACCACACATTTCATTGGATGTACGTAGTCAGGGCACAAACCATTAAATATCACAGGGGACTCACAGTCTAGTCCTTCACTCTTTTCTATTGAGTGCAACCCCTTGAGTATCATAGATGGAATCCAGTCCAGCAATGCTGGCCTCTCTAAGCAACATTTATTTTGAGATTTATCTTGGACATTCTCATTTCCTCAATCCCTTTACTTCCCATTTCAGTGCCTGATGTTTGGTAATTCTCTGATCATTTCTTCTCAGGATGTGTCTTTTTTTGTCTTGTAACCGTTGATAGCAGTGGTTTGTCTAGACATATGATAGCAGTGGTTTGTCTAGACATATGATAGCAGTGGTTTGTCTAGACATATGATAGCAGTGGTTTGTCTAGACATGATAGCAGTGGTTTGTCTAGACATATGATAGCAGTGGTTTGTCTAGACATGATAGCAGTGGTTTGTCTAGACATATGATAGCAGTGGTTTGTCTAGACATGATAGCAGTGGTTTGTCTAGACATATGATAGCAGTGGTTTGTCTAGACATATGGTAGCTGTGGTTTGTCTAGACATATGATAGCAGTGGTTTGTCTAGACATATGATAGCTGTGGTTTGTCTAGACATATGATAGCAGTGGTTTGTCTAGACATATGCTAGCAGTGGTTTATATAGACATATGATAGCTGTAGTTTGCCTAGACATCTGATAGCTGTAGTTTGCCTAGACATCTGATAGCTGTGGTGTGCCTAGATATCTGACAGCTATCGTTTGCCTAGACATCTGATAGCTGTGGTTTGCCTAGACATCTGACAGCTATCGTTTGCCTAGACATCTGATAGCTGTGGTTTGCCTAGACATCTGATAGCAGTGGTTTGCCTAGACATCTGATAGCTGTGGTTTGCCTAGACATGATAGCAGTGGTTTGACTAGACATATGATAGCTGTGGTTTGTCTAGACATCTGATTGCAGTGGTTTGTCTAGACATGATAGCAGTGGTTTGTCTAGACATATGATAGCTGTGGTTTGTCTAGACATTTGATAGCAGTTGTTTGTCTAGACATATGATAGCAGTGGTTTGTCTAGACATATGATAGCAGTGGTTTATATAGACATATGATAGCTGTAGTTTGCCTAGACATCTGACAGCTGTGGTTTGCCTAGACATCTGATAGCTGTGGTTTGCCTAGACATCTGATAGCTGTGGTTTGCCTAGACATCTGATAGCTGTGGTTTGCCTAGACATCTGATAGCTGTGGTTTGCCTAGACATCTGACAGCTGTGGTTTGCCTAGACATTTGATAGCTGTGGTTTGTCTAGACATTTCCTTCCCTGCAATTTTCTGTAGCAAATAATATATGGGAGGGCTGGCTCACAATCAGCTCTCTTCCTTTATCATCCTGGCCTGGGAGCAGCACTGGCAGAGAGGATAACTACTTCACAAACACATTAGATCAGAACAGATCCAATGCCTCCTATCAAGCATATGATTAAGGCAACTAATTAGGGATCTGCTGAAATCTGATATGTTGAGTAAAAAGGTGCAGATATTGCAGCTTAGCTGAGAACCGCAACACAATATGCCAACCACCCTTTTAAGGAGAGCGCAGAAGAAATGTAATGGCACAAACCTGCAAGCGACTGTCCCTGGATGAATTCCCAGAACTGGCAGCTGAGGCAGACTCGTGGACTGGAGGCACAAAGGCTGGTGGAGACGGGGATCTGCTGCTGGTTTTATGCCAAGCACCTGTGAAACAGGAAGACAACATTGTCGCAGATTAACAGTATACACACTTGTGACAGGGTTCAATGCTGTCACGAAGATTAACAGTATACTTGTGATAGGGTTGAATGCTGTCACACAGTCTAACTGTATACACATTAGTGACAGGGTTAAATACTGTCACACAGATTAACCGTATATATACTTATGACAGGGTAAAATACTGTCACACAGATTAACTGTACACATACTTGTGACAGGGTAAAATACTTTTACATGGCTAAATTCTGTGAGTAAACCTGCCATATGGTTGAAATCTGTGAGAAAGAGATAAACCTGCTGTATGGTTAAAATCTGTCGCATACAGTTAAAACCTGTAGCACAGTTAAAATACATATAAAACAACTGAAGCTTTGTTACATCATTTCCTTTACCAGTTGACAGAGATTCTGTTACATTAACCATCAGTACTGAAACTCTTCGCTGGCTGCTGAAGGTGAGGACAGAGTGCTTATCTCTTCTAGCCCCAAACAATGCCATATTTGTAAATCTATTCACTCCCTATATTCCCCCCACAGCACAATGTATTATTGTTATCATTTAGTCAGCAACTACTGAAGAAACGTGGCTACCCCCACAAGCCAATGAAAACTGTAAACTGCAAATGTGAAGGTAAAGCATTCACAGTTAGTTGCGCACCATAATTATTTCAATTGTGGGATTGTCATGAAAGCTAAACTGTCAGTTCTGAACCCAAGCTGGTTATACTAATCTCAAAGAAAATAAGATAAAGAATTTGTTTAATACACTTATAAAGTTTGACAGGTAGACTTGGAATATATTAGAGGGATAGGCTTGAAATTTGTTTCAGTCATCTAGACAGATAATTCTAAAATTCTGCTTTTAAAGCTAAACAGAGTCTGTGCAAGATTATGAATTGGCTGATGAAAAAGTATTTTACTGATACAAGTAGATATATCTTCTAGGACAAGAAGTCTGCCACAAGCTGGTTGTGAAACAAAACAAACAGGGAACTTCACACACAAACAGATCACCTCAAAACTTCACACACAAACAGATCACCTCGAAACTTCACACACAAACAGATCACCTCGAAACTTCACACACAAACAGATCACCTCAAAACTTCACACACAAACAGATCACCTCGAAACTTCACACACAAACAGATCACCTCGAAACTTCACACACAAACAGATCACCTCGAAACTTTACACACAAACAGATAACCTCGGAACTTCACACACAAACAGATCACCTCTTGTGTCAGTCCTTCTGGCAGCAGATGACGGAAGTTTGACAGTAAAGGTTTGATTGGATGATTCATCTGGCATGTGGTGTTCCTTGAGTTTAAACCCTAGGACACTTGACAGCATGTCAAAGATGGCGAAACTGTTCAAGGTACAGATTATAGCAGATCACATCACAACAATCTTCAAACTAATGAATTTAAAGAAAATTAATCCAGATATTGACAAATAACAATAAACCAGAACAGTTATATATACACAAATAATGAGAAATGTAAAACAAATACATATTATTCAGTTCCATCTACAATTAAAATTTTTTAATTTTGTGTGTGCTAGTGAACTCTTTACATATCATAATAACTCAGAGACTGCAACTGCTAATACACAAGATAGAATTTTAAAACCTGGCTGTAGGTTACATGACAGAATAAGAAAAAGAAGAAGTAGACAAAAAGGAGAAGCAGTAGGAGGAGAAAAGAAGAAGAAACAGGCGGAGGAGGAGGAGAAGAACACAGTAATGGGTGTCACTTAGTAAAACAAAGCCTAGATTACCCCATCTAATTTGACAATGGAGGTGGAGGCCGTGACAAGAGATATCTGCTGGCTTGAGAACTGGCTGCTTGTGCATATAGTGATTTAACAAGCTCACAAAACATGATGAGAAAAGTGAAAACAGGCACGCTCCATTCAGATGTGGCAAATACTGTTTCAGAGTTCTCTGGCTGAGTAGCAAGCATCAATATAAGAGGTTGTAGGTAGTTAGCGTCCTCTGGTATTTTCTTCAAGGATGAAAGTGTATTGGAAAACACACAAGCAGACAGACTGGCTGGTGCTGCACCAGTGTGTGGTGAGAAGATGGACGTGATCAAGACCTTCTGGGAGTAAATCAACAATGCGGAAGCACAAACAGATAATTAGGTTGTGGTGATTATGGTGCAGCAGTCAGGAACCAGGTATCCAGTCAACATTCTATACTCAGAGGAAAGACAAGACAGAGATATAACCCCACTACTCTGGGTGTATTCAAATTATTGTTGGTATCATTGGCATTGGAACTCTCTTCCGGCTCCTTAAGATGAGCCTGTTCTGCGTGCTGTGATATCAGGTCTGCACTCAAAAACTCGGGGAAAACGTCTGGTAAAACATCTGCTATTGGCAAATGTAAACATCTTTTCTCAGGTCAGTGGCATATCAAGTGTAGAGTGACAGGTACATGATTCTAATGGACCCACTGGCATTCGATGGTTGTCAATATCCTGCCAGCAACCTTTACTTCCCAGGACATTTCTACTTGGACTGGGGTTCACCCAGAAGCCAGGGTCAGTTATGAAGAAATCTGCCTAAACATTGGCCATACTGAATACAAGATGTACAGGAAGCCATTGAGAGATTTACCTGAGTCTTTTGACAATAGCCAGGGAACAATAACTGCAGTCGCTTTCATCATGGTAAGCACACCTGGAGGGAACACAGATACAAACAACAGCTGTAAATTACTAGACCATTGTGGATGTGTGGCGTTAGCAGTCATGCCTAACCACAAACTTCTGTCTTGTGTATCTTTAATCAATTCTGTCATGATGTCAGACTGTTCAGCATTAGGTCTGCCTCTTTTCCCACTCTCACAATGTACTCTGGTTTTCTCAGTCTTATGACATGACTACAGACTGTACATTGTCCCCTTCTGTTGTGGGCAATCATTCTCTTACTTGTTCAGGCAATAGAAATTAGTGGTCACACAATGTGCAAGATATGAATCATTACCATCATCCTCATTATGTTATCAAAGAAATATTAGCATCCAAGCCTAAATCTCTTGCTGAAAATGCAGCTTAAATGATCAGAACAGGAGACATCCTTAGAAAAGTTGTTAATAGTTTCACTTGAATGTCATCGTACTGGAGCCCACAGGGTAAATTACATAGAGAAAGACATAAAAACAGAGAGGAGAATTAAAGGCAGAGACCGGTATGGGAAATATTTGGAGGGAGCTGCAAGAGACAACAAAGGAAAGTAGAGCTGTTTCAGCCTCTATGTTCCAATGGAGGATAAATGCAGCAACAGCAGCAGCAGAATCAGAAGAAACAGAAAAAGAAGATGTAACAGAGAACTCACCTGATACTGCTGACATAGTCAGTAACTGAGAACTCACCTGATACTGCTGACATAGTCAGTAACTGAGAACTCACCTGATACTGCTGACATAGTCCCACTGGTTCCGTAGAAGGCTGTCATGGATCTGAGTTTCTGACGGCTTCACAGTAAATTTCCCAGACTGCAGCAGTAGAGACATGACCAGGTCCTCCAGGGCATAGACTCTGGTGAATATGTTCGGTTCTCCAGTCCGAGCGTGATAATGAATGTAATCCAAGCATGACTGCACAATTACTTTTTCACTGGCCTGAAACACATTCAGAACAAGACAGAATAGATTCAGCAATAAAACTCAGACAAAAACTCACTTGGATGAACAAACTTTATTTATAAAAGGTTAAGAACTGGGCACACAGGCCCATCTTACTTTCTGCTCTTGTGGCCTCACTCTTTACAGACATTATTCGATTGAAATCAGCTGAAAAGTTATACACATCTACATCTAATTGTTAATCCCAGTTGCTGGAATATTCTCTAATTATACCACCATTTCTCAGCAGTAATAATACTAAGTAAAGTGAGTGTAATCAATCGGTTGGGGAAGGGGGGGGGGGGGGATAATATGTATAACATTATTAGCTTTTACGTGGGCATAAAGTCTCTGCTAAGACAATATTCAAAACAGATTCCGATAGTATGTGTACGGGTTGTTCATATTTTTGACTGGCTGTGGAAGATGGTTTGCCAGATGAGCTGTGGAATACACCAAGCTTGTTTTGTATAAGTCTTTCCTAGATTTTGTCATATGTTGCATGCTTAGGTGGTTGACTGACTGACTGACTTTCTACCCCACTAGGACATCAAACAAGCGATAAACACCCGATGACACAAAGGGCCACCATGTGGATGAGGACCGCCATGGAGAGGTCCCAGAAACCGCATTCAGACAATTGGCCATATTTATGGCCTGCCTATATTGCGGCCCCTGGCAAAAGACAGGGTGTGGCTTCAAATAAAAAATTCCATCCTAAAGAGGACGTAAGTATAGGTAATAGGTGGTTGCCCTGTCTTCCATTATATCTAAGCAATGGTCAAAAGTGATCTGGAACATTTCTGGATTCTATTTTGTGAATAAATGTTGCCTTATTGAAATGTAGGCATTTATATAGTGGTAGTAGCAGAAGACTCATACACTGGCTGGAGCTGTCTCTTCCCTACACACAAGGTGGCAAGTAATCAAGTGCAGGAAAACACCGTAATGACAGCTATGATTCCATACAAAACTTGCTAAGTAATGACAATAACAAAAGGATGGACAGGAGCAGGATGAGAGGTTAGAAGTTGGCGGTAGAAGGAGCAAGAGATAATATGAGAAGGTGATAGAGGAGAAAAAGGAGAAACAGAAGATGGAATTGTATTTTATCTATAAAGCATTGTTTTGTATATATAACAATACACATCAGTGAAAATACAAAAGCATCAAGGACAAATGTATACAGTCATATGTACAGAAATAATTTCTTTCTTTAAAGCACATACATACACACATGCATACAGAAGGGAGAAGAAAAGGAGAAAAGCAGTAAAAGAACAACATAAACAATGACCAATATCGGAAGCCAATAGTAGACTGAAAACCCTCAACGCCTAATGTAGCTGGATTTGGTATTATTCACAATAAAAATAAACAGAAAAACAAGTAACAATACAAAACTCACCAAACAAAATATAGGAGGAACATCATCCCTGTGAGGATCACTGACCACAAACTTCTCTAGCCTCGTCCACAACCTCAGGAAGTCGCTGTCAGCCTGTTCAAAGCTCAGTGGGATCTTGTGCGTATTCTCACCTGTACAGAGATTTGGAAGGGAAACACACATTAAAAAGTCAAGAGGATCGACTTTATTGACAGAGGTTTACCTCATATGATCTCCTTGCACAGAACGACAAACCACCAGCCAAGAATGTCAAATAAAGCACAAACTCTTTAGCTCCAGTAACCATCCACAAGAATCTTCAAGAAAAATTGCACCTGCGAATTGAATGGCACATCCATGAAAAGAACCCATAACTTTCAGAAGGCAAGGCTTTCTGTATGGGTCTTGGGGTCCCACTGTAGGGGACACAAAGAATGGACCCATTGCCCCTAACAAGCATGTTCTAAGAGTTGACGAATTATGACTATTTCATTCAAAGTCGGTGCATCTGCCCAATAGGTGTGAAACCAATAGCCTGCATAAAATTAAGTCAGAGTTGTAAAATGGATGTGCATGCAAAACTCATGTTCTGGAACAAGACTCAAGTCCAGAACAGATCAACAACCAGAATTTACAGAAAGTAAACATGCAGAAGAAGAAGGCAAAAATAGCACTGATAGGAAGTACCTTTAAAAACATCTTTCTCGATGTTTTCCGGCTATCCTCCAAATAACAGTCCTAAATTATCGGGGCGGAAAATATACCCTAACAGGGCCTCAGTCACGTGTCCATTGCGCACTTCTGGGGCCTATAACGTCACCGTCGAATTGCAAACTTTCGGCAACCTCCACCACCGCCAAGAGTGACCCCCCACGCCGCTCACGCGACGTGGATTGGGGCTAAACTAGATGGCTAGGATTCACGAGCACATAAAATGAAGGAAGCTGCAGGAGGTGCGGTAGCTGCTGCTCGTGAGTCCTAGCCATCTAGTTTAGCCCCAATCCACGTCGCGTGAGCAGCGTGGGGGGTCACTCTTGGCGGTGGTGGAGGTTGCCGAAAGTTCCCAATTCGACGGCGGCGGAAGTCGCAGAAAGCACGCATTTTAAGACGGCGAAACTGCGCAATTGACACGTGACTGAGGCCCTGTTAGAGTATATTTTCCGCCCCGATAATTTAGGACCGTTATTCGGAGGATAGCCTCTTTTCCGTCCAAATGCACTGCTAAGCTAAGGGTCGGTAATGATGATGTTTTCTTTTGCAACCTTACTACGGATTGGATGCTCACTGACACTTTCACGTATTCTATACGTCATAGTTTGCAGTTTGTTCTGTGGTACGAATATTCTAGAATTTATTTGTGTTAAAAAGGCTGTTTAGAGGATAGATAAGATTGGAAAAATATGGCCACTTTACGACAGGGTGTGTCTCTCAAACAGCAAGATCTGGTGCTCACTTTGTGAAACAAGGCTGATCCTGCTGGGTATATTGGCACACAAAGGTGGAATATTGGCACTAGATGAAAGGTAAAGCTATTTTTTCAATGTCTCCAAGTTTCATCTTATTCTAACCACTTGTTTGCATGCAACTCATATTTTTGTATATCATGTGTTTTTTTTTTTTTACGTTAATGCCCAGGAGCTCAGGTACAGGAGACAGTTAGGTTCAGGGCATCAGATCTGGTAAGGTTAATTTACTAAATATAACCAGACTCACTGTGTTTTAACGCCAAGTGCATGTTTCCATGTGGGACCTCACCAGCGTCGATGAAACTATGCAAATGTTTTGTGATCCCATCCCTCAGGGTGAAGGAGACCATGCCCACCTCAAGGGGCAAGTAGTAATCAACTGGCTCGTCCGTGTACATGACTTGAAAGTTGATGACATGAAACCGTATGTCCAAGAGATCTGAGGATCAAGCATGTATAATGGACCATTTATATGCTTGTAGTCTTCAGTTTCTGCATCTACTTGATGTTTGCATGGGATTGCATTCTTTCTTACTTACTTACATACATACTTACTTACATATAGCATATATACTTACTTACTTACTTACATACTTACTTACTTACATACATACTTACTTACTTACATACATACTCAGTCACTCGTCTTCAACCCTGGGGTGTAGAGGTTTGCCAGAGAGAAAGCCAGACGTGGATCTGTCAGTCTGGGACTGTGGAATGTTCTCTTTCCAGCCAAGCCTGGGTCGCCCTGGAGGTCTGGTTCCCTGGTTCTTGTCCTCCCATGCCTGTCATGGTGGCTGGTTCACTACCATTCTGCAGACATGTCAGAACTATTGTAACTGTGACAAATCCACTCAAGTTTGTAAGTCTTGGGTTTCAAGATCCTGACAAATTGTCCCAGTGTGAACTTTGTCCCTTCTTTCTCAGATATCTCATGTTTCAGGCTGAAGCTGTTTTCTGTGAGCTGCTGTCAATGGTCATGACTCACACAGATTGTCTTTTCCAGTATAAATGTGTGTGTTTCTGTGTATGAGATAAACAGAGAGAGACACACACACAGAGGGGGGGGGGGGGGGGGGGGGGGGAAGAGATTCTATTTCTGAGATTAAGTGCTACTATATCTATTTGAATGCATGTTTAGGAGTGTGCATGTGTGTGTGTCTATGCAGGAGACAGATGAAAAAATAGAGGGGGGGGGGAGGTGGTGGTGGTGGTGTGTATTTTTGAGTGCTTCTTTGACTATTTGAATGCATTTGTATGTGTGCATTACTGTTTCTGTGAATACATGTGTGTGGGTGCATTATTGTTTCTGTGAATACATGTCTGGGTACATTCCTGTTTCTGTGAATACTGTAAATACATGTGTGTGGGTGCATTATTGTTTCTGTGAATACGTGTGTGGGTACATTACTCTGTGAGTGAATTACTGTTTCTGTGAATACATGTGTGTGGGTGCATTACTGTTTCTGTCAATGCATATGTGTGAGTGAATTACTGTTTCTGTGACTGCATATGTGTGAGTGAATTACTGTTTCTGTGACTGCATATGTGTGAGTGAATTACTGTTTCTGTGACTGCATATGTGTGAGTGAATTACTGTTTCTGTGACTGCATATGTGTGAGTGAATTACTGTTTCTGTGACTGCATATGTGTGAGTGAATTACTGTTTCTGTGACTGCATGTGTGTGAGTGAATTACTGTTTCTGTGACTGCATGTGTGTGAGTGCATTACTGTTTCTGTGACTGCATATGTGTGAGTGAATTACTGTTTCTGTGACTGCATATGTGTGAGTGAATTACTGTTTCTGTGACTGCATGTGTGTGAGTGAATTACTGTTTCTGTGACTGCATGTGTGTGAGTGAATTACTGTTTCTGTGACTGCATGTGTGTGAGTGAATTACTTTTTCTGTGAATTCATGTGTGTGAGTGCATTACTGTTTTTGTGAATTCATGTGTGTGAGTGAATTACTGTTTCTGTGACTGCATGTGTGTGAGTGAATTACTGTTTCTGTGACTGCATGTGTGTGAGTGAATTACTGTTTCTGTGAATTCATGTGTGTGAGTGCATTACTGTTTCTGTGAATTCATGTGTGTGAGTTCATTACTGTTTCTGTGAATTCATGTGTGTGAGTGCATTACTGTTTCTGTGACTGCATGTGTGTGAGTGAATTACTGTTTCTGTGACTGCATGTGTGTGAGTGAATTACTGTTTCTGTCAATGCATATGTGTGTGTCTGTGTGTGTGATTGTACCCACATCCACAAGAATGCAAGAATTAACTGTCTGGCATATCTGCATACACCTGCATCAACAACAAATATAATAAACAACAAACGAAACTAGATGCACAACAGAAGGAATCAAAGACATCAAATTCACCTTGTCCCTCCCAAGACTTCACCAGGTCCTGCTTCTCCCTGGTTCGCAACATGGCTGCCTCCTGGGCTGCAGATTTTCTGAGCTGATAAACAACCAGTGTGCACATTTAAAGCCAAGTATAATATGGCACCCTTTTCCCACCACTGACTCTCTGCCCAGACATATGGTGCTAGACCAAAATTGTATAGACCAACTGGCAACACCGCCCAGGCCACCTTTACTTTGCAAGACATTGCCTAATTCCCATTTTAGAGTGGGATCTTCTTCTTAGCGTTCACTGACTGAAAACTCCAGTAGAAAGTTCTGGTTTTTCACCCACTTCTGGACTTTGGTCTTTTATCCAGAACTTTAGTCTTGTGTACGAATACAGTTTACAGATCTGGCTTACTTATATGCAGACTGTTGGTTCCTCTCCTCCAAAGCAGATGCACCCATACTTTGAAGAACACACCCCTAATTAGTTGACAATTACAACATGCTTGTTGGGGGCAGTGGGTCTATTACCCCACACCTCCCCCCCCCCCCTTACCTCCAACATGGGGCCCAGAACCCACACAGGTTAGGCCATACATAAATTAGAAAACTCTACCTCAATAAAGACTGGAACCCAAGACCTGTGAGCCACTAGGAAAGTGTCTAGCCAATGTCCACTGGGCTATTTTAGCTCCCATACCTCATTTAGAAATCAGCATTTATCAACTTTTACAATCCAACACAATCCACACATACACAATCCACACACCCATACAACCACACAAATTGGGAAAATAATAAATGTACTGAAGACAATATCTGACAGGATATCTTTAACTCTTGCAGTTTTTGTTTGTCTTTTGTTCAACAATGAAGCTTTGACCCTACAGCTACTAATACCAAACCATCCTATTGTGTGGTCAACATTACACCAGCTGCCTTTACTTCCTAGGACATTCCCTGGCACTAATATTGAGTTGCACCAACCCGGGAGCCAAAGTCAACTTCTCCCCTCAAACACCAGTTTTGTCCCCAAACTTCCACCCTCAAACACGTTTTGTTCCCCTTCCCCCCCTCAAACACCAGTTTTGTCCCCCTTCCCCCTCAAATACCAGTTTTGTCCCCCAACTCCCTTCCTAAAACACCAGTTTTGTCCCCCAACTTCCCCCCCCCCTCCCTCAAACACCAGTTTTGTCCCTCAACTTCCTTCCTCAAACACCAGTTTTGTCCCCTTCCCCCCCTCAAACACCAGTTTTGTCCCCCAACTTCCCCCCTCAAACACCAGTTTTGTCCCCCAACTCTCTTCCTTAAACACCAGTTCCACCCCCCCCCCCCATCAAACACCAGTTTTGTCCCCCAACTCTCTTCCTCAAACACCAGTTTTTTGTCCCCCAACTTCCCCCCTCAAACACCAGTTTTGTCCCCCAACTTCCTTCCTCAAACACTAGTTTTGTCCCCCTTCCCCCCTTAAACACCAGTTTTGTCCCCCACCTTCCCCCCCCCCCCTCAAACACCAGTTTTGTCCCCCTTTCCCCCTCAAACACCAGTTTTGTCCCCCTTCCCCCCTCAAACACCAGTTTTGTCTCCCAACTTCCAAAATCAAAGTCAAGATGTTCAAGCTAGTGTCCAGGCACACAGCTACCTAGGCTCGTTAGGAATTTTAAAAAAAGGTGGTGCTCCTGCATATGATGAACACAAATACAAACTAGGGTGCTCACATATCATGAACACACACACAAAATGAGGTGCTCACATATCATGAACACAAATACAAACTAGGGTGCTCACATATCATGAACACACACACAAAATGAGGTGCTCACATATCATGAACACAAATACAAACTAGGGTGCTCACATATCATGAACACAAATACAAACTAGGGTGCTCACATATCATGAACACACACACAAAATGAGGTGCTCACATATCATGAACACAAATACAAACTAGGGTGCTCATATATCATGAACACAAATACAAACTAGGGTACTCACATATCATAAACACTCATACTTACTGCAATTATCTGGCCCTGATTGTCCAGTCTCATCAGATCCGGGTCCTGGCCACCTTTCAGATTGGCCCTTTTAGCCATGGCATTGTAAGTGGCCCTTTCTTCTGGGCTGAGTCTCTGTGGGACCAACAATACAGTCAATGAGCACAACAAGGTCTTCATAATCAGAACAACACGTAAATATTAAAACAAACAAACAAGAACAGTAAATAACTAAGAGACAACCCTAACCATCACAGCCGATTATGTTCAGAATGGAGTGTACTTGTGTGGAAACAGTACCAGCTTTGATTGACCGTTTGTGCCAACAGTGAACTGCATTTCTGTTGTGGGACCTTTGGTGTTGGTACATCTGACTGCCGCTATATGCATTCTTGTGTTCTATGACAAAACTATCTAAACTATGAGTCATGACACGTTAGTGTTTGGGTGCAGTGTGAAAGTGTGTCATCAACAGGAAAGGTCTGCAAATTCTGCTCTGTAAATTACAAGTAACCTTCTTCTAAGCTTCTCCAGATTACGGCAACAATGGACATGAAACAAAGAATGCTGTTCACAATGTTCTAGCATATAATGCTGTCAGTAATAGATCACAGACTCGAAATGCTTACCATCTCAAAGAGTCAGCTGATGAAACCTGAACGCATACAGAATGAAGTCAAGTGGATAATTCTGGGATGTACAAAAGATACCCCGGTAGTATGTATGCGATATATACTTGCGCTGCCTACTGTCGCAGATAGGCTCAAAGTTCTGCTAGCAAAATCATTACTCAGAGTAGCTGCAGACAAGAAGCACCTCCTGCATGAAGCCTTAGGTAGAGCTAAGGGTCTTGTCTTGTCTTGTCCACAATTGCCTCACAGCGTAGTGGGGAGTCGCAGTTTTCTATCCTGGGCCAGGTGTGTTGCACGTGTTGTTGTTAGTCCGTGTTGCCTCAGGATCTCTGATATATTATCTATCCATCGTACTCTCAGTCTGCCTCTTGCTCTAGGGCAGTAGTGCTGTTCGTTGTATGCTCGTAGAGGCAGTTGGTCGGTTTGCATTCGCATCAAGTAGCCAAACCACTCTATATGTTGCTTCTTTATGTATTGCAGGCATGGTGTGGTTCCTACAATTGATCTAATGTTCTCGTTTCGAACTCTGTCTCTCCTTGTGACATTGGCTAAGGGTCACAGGCTGAAAAGAGGCAGGTCTTGAATGGCGTAGGCTGAAGACACAATTAGACCTGTGTGCAGGCATAATAAATTTGGGTGAGGAGAAGAGTGGGTCAGAATTTCCAAGCAAGTTTCAAACTTTTGTAGGGTTTTAACCATGTTAGGTCATGAGTGCAGGGATTGGTCACTTGCTTCTGCACAGTCAGAAGTTCAACAAATAATTCATAACAATTCTTGCCCAAGTGATGTGATTTCTATACAGATGGCTCTGTGTTAAATTGAGTTAAGTCAAGAATTGACATCACAGCACTCAAGGCATTCCCATGTGTGTTTCTTCCTTATCTTCAAACCCCTTCCCCCCCCCCCCCCCCCCCACTAAATGCTATACTGGTGAACAAAGTGATACAGACAGACAGTCAAGCAAATGCATATCAAACCCTTACCTTCCAGGATTCATTGCAGAGAACAGCCATTTCTTGCATAGATGGCGCCTGTTTGGTTTCTGCTAGGATTCGTTTTTTCTCCTCTATCATAAACATCAGGTAGCCATTGCTCTTCTTTTTAGGCATTTTCTTTTATCTAAGGAAATAAAAACCAAAAGCTGTTAGTCCAGACTGATAGTATGATTCTTACAGCCCACGCCATGTGGCATCAGTAGTAACGTCTCTCCGTTTCCTTCTGCTTTGTGTACTTTCAATTATTTCTGACATGGATTATCCTCCAGGATATGTCACGTATGATTGCATCGCAAATTTCTTGTTGGCACCTTTCTGTCTTTCCTGACAACTGTGGTATACTGTGCTACAGGGAGGTAGGGGAATGACAGCCCATGGAGACAGCAAGACTGACCAACGAGAAAAGATTATCATGGGCGGGTCTTGCTAGTCACACTCACAATCACCATGGGCTGTAATTGTCACGCCTCGCTGTAGCACAACATAACAATATCTTTGAAAAGATGGAAAAGTTTGTTGTCAGTTTTTCTTCTTTTTTTTTAAATGGGGGTATGCAATGGTATGTAGTATTGGCACCTTTAAGTAGACATTATTTTTCTTCACAGCCAATGTAACAGGTACACTGTGAAGAGCACTGGCACTTTGTTTAGGCACTTTGTGGTTGGTACTATAACTTTTTCCTGACACACACAAAAAGCCCTGGTATTTGTTAATTCTTTCTGTCTTACACAATGCACCATTTGCAAATGGCTATTATTTAGGGGTACCAGTTGAGTTGCTTTGAGTCAAGAATTGACATCAAAGCACTCGGGGCATTCCCATGCATGCTCTGTCCTCATTTTCAGCAGCCAGCACAGAGTTTCAATACTGATGGTCCCAGTCACAATCTGGTTAAAAGTCCGTCTTGCCTTTCCTCTAAGTGTAGTGAGTCGGCCAGACCCTCTAGTTACACCCAGGTGCCTCTTTCTCTCCAGGCCATAATAATTTTCTTTCTCTACTGATTCCATACCAATCAATAAGTTATATATATTTTTATGTTTCATGTTTAGTCAAGAAGTCTTTTACTCTTTGAGAATGTTTTACTGATATATCGTCATGACAATCTGCTCCGCTTTGCCATATCATCGCTGACTAATAAGTTTTGGCACAGACACTAATTTTGTTTCATTTGGTACAAAAAATTTAATTTGTATGAACCTGTTTTGAAAAACTAGAATTAGCACAAGAAAGTTTAATCATTTTCCAAACATAATTCTGATAATAGGTTTAATTTTCAATTATATTTATTTTTAATTAAATCAGTGTGATACAATTTGTGTGTGACTGTCCAGACCAAATGGTGAGTGACAAGGTCTAGAGATGTACTACTCTGCTGTCATTGCTGAATCTGAGCCAGATAGTGACAACAGTCTTGATATATTCATTAATAATGCAACTGCCAAACCTTTTGCTGATAATATAGGTGAGGAAGATGTTGAACAAAATATTTCAATCAGATCATCCCTGTTTTGATCAGCTGTGTCTGGAATTTGGTTGCTGTTAAATGTGATGTCATACATACAAACAAAGTCATAAAATCCAAAGTATTTAGATTAACTGTTTCAAATAAAGACTAGCTGATGCATAATTAAACAGAGAAGACATGTGAATTCTTACAAATCGATAGCAGTGTTGCTAAACAAGTAAAAAATTAAGGTAAGCACACCATTCCAAGTGTAAAAACTCTTCATACTGAGTCTAACATCCTTAAATGTTGTGTCATTTGAATATTTTGTCACTGTAATACTGATACTTAGAGAATGTAGATGTATTCTGCTCTCATGTCTCTGTAACTTGATATATTATATGTCTCTATACAACCATATATACTTTTTCTTCAGGATGGTTTTATCTTTGTCATCTTGAGTAAACAAAATGTTGCCCTGTAAGAGTTAAAGACCTATACCAGTATCCTATAAGGAGTTAATATAGCTCAACATCTTCATTCAAATTTTGGGAAACTGCAACATTCATCACACATGGTCAAAAGTACTCCATTCTCCTCCAGAGTATGTCACCAAGTGTTTTTTAGACTAACAACTCACAATTTGTTCTTCTTCTTTCGTTCGCCTGAAATAAGTTGTCTATATCAGCAGTTTTGTCTCATGTATAAATTTCACTGTCGTTGTTAGTTCATTCAGTGGTCCATAGAGTTTACGTTCCACTGTTGTTCTTTCTGGCCAAAAGGTTTGCCTTAATGTGTCAAAATCGGTGCAGTCCTGGAGTACATTCTCTGCTGTCTGGGGCACCTCTCCACAGGTGCACATGGCTGATACACCTATCTTGAATTTTGTGTACATGTGGTTATGTAATGGGTTGTGCCCTGTTCTGAGGCGGAAGATAATGACTTGTTCTGATCTGTCCATAATAAAATAGTCGTCTTGTGCTGGGGCTGGCGGTTTCCTGATCGATTTAATTATTCTTTTCTTTTGGTGGTATGTGACTGGTACATCCGGCTGCTCTTTTGTCGCACCTTCCCCTGCCAGTTGATCAGCTTTCTTATTTCCAGGCACTCCACAATGAGACGGTATCCACTGCATTACGACTCTTCGCTGAACGCTGAGTTGTGTCAGCAGTGTTTGCAATTCTGGTAGTTTCCTAGACTGGAGTGCTTCAAGTACTGATTTAGCATCTGTCAGCATTACCACATACTGTGAGCCAAGGTTGGTATTTAGCAGTTTTTCTGCTATCTTGATAGCCTGGGTTTCTGCATCGTAATTATGGCAGTACTTCCCGGTTGGTACGCTGGACTTATCCCTAGTACCATCTGGGAATTTGATGTACACTCCAGCGCCACCATTTCTAACTGCACTTTCTGCGGACCCATCTGTATAGACTCTGACCCATTGTTCTTGTGGGTATTCTTCATCAATATAACTGAGGGTGGCCATTCTGCGTTGTACACTATCTTGCTCTTTCTTGTCAAATATCCCTTTCACATTTGTCTGGATTTGTACCGTTAGTTTACATTTTTCTCTCCATGGGGTTTGTTCCGGAATACTTTTAAGTGGGCAACCAATTTCTGGAAGGTCAGGAGTTTGTCTACATATTCTTTTTGCTTGGTGTATAAAGCTGCTTCTTTTTAACCGTCCCAAGGCTAGGTTCTTAAATCTATTTTCCATTGGGTGATCCGGCATACTAAGGAACTTTTCAGCTTGTATTTGCAACTTTGTATCTCTGCGTTCTCTCAGTGCCTGTGTTTTCCCAGCTTTCTCCATTTCTAATATGGGGGTTGATTTCATTCCTCCTGTGATGACTCTGAGCGCTTGATTTTGCACTTTGTCCAACTCCTTTAATGTGGTACTAGATGCTGAGCACCATGCAGTTGACCCATATTCCAAGTGTGGAAGTATGCTCTGCTTGTATACTTTATTGAGTATTTTCCCACTGGCTCCCCATGTGGTTCCACTTAGTTTTCTTAGAATTGCTGTCTTCCTCCTGGCTTTGGTTGCTGCCTTGTTGATATGTTTTCTCCATGTCAACCTGTCATCGAATGTTACTTCTATATACGTGGGCTCTTTATCATCTCTCAGGGGTATTCCGTTTATTTTGATGGTGCCGGCTTTTTGCTTTGGGGAGAGGGTGAATAGTGTGGTGCTACATTTGTCTGTGTTGATGCTGACAGACCATCTATTGGCCCATGCCTCAAGTGCATTTGTAGCCCACTGTAGTGTTTTTGTGGCTATCGTTGCATGTTCATTGGTGCACCTTAGTACCAGGTCGTCGGCATACATTGCAATTTTGATTCCATTTGGTATCTCAGCAACCAGATCGTTGATGAATAAAAGGAAAAGTGTGGGCGACAGGACACCACCTTGAGGGACGCCTTGTCGCAGTAGAACTTTTTTACTTTTAAAACCATCTACCTGTACCCTGGCTCTTCTGTTATGTAGATATGCTTTAATCCAATTGTACATTCTTCCATTTACTTTTGTACATTCTTCCATTTACTTTATAGTTTCTCAATTTCTTTAAAAGCCCCTCCTTCCAAACCTTATCAAAAGCTTTCTTTAAATCTATCCATGCCGCGAGTACCAGTTTCTTATCTTGAAAAGCATCCTCTATTTCTTTGGAGAGGAATGTTTCTGGTCTTCCGTAGAGTAGAACTTTCTAAAGCCCGCCTGCTGTGGTGTAATGTTGTTTTCACTTTCAATGTACCACTGTAGTCTGAGGTTGGTGATGCGCTCCATTGTTTTGCAGAGACAGCTTGTGAGGCTGATCGGTCTGTAGTTGGAGGCATTAGAACTGTCTTTCCCAGGCTTTATGAGGGGTATCATAATTGCCTCTCTCCAGATTTGTGGAACATTCCCTGTTGCCCAGCAAGCATTAAATATCTGTAAAAGCTTTGTTTTGGCTACTTTTCCTAAGTTTCTGATCATTTCGTTTGATATACCATCTGCTCCTGGTGACTTCCGCATTTTCAGATTTGAAATGGCCAACTCCAGTTCATTAAGTGTAATTGGCACCTCTAGCGCCTCTGATGTTATTTCTTTCTGACTTCTAAATTGTGTCTTTTCTTGAATTTCGTGTTTTTTCTCTGAACTGATTTCAATGTCGTTATCTAAAGCAAAAGTGTCCGCAAATAGGTTGGCTGCTTTTTTTCCTGTGACCATGTTTCCATCTTTCTGCAGCGTGATCTTTGAGTTCCACCCCGTGTCCTCATCATTAATTTGTTTCACAAGCTTCCATAACTTTCTTGTGTCTTTTTCAAAGTTCAGCGACCTTGTTTTCTTCTGCCAGCTTTCCCTTCTAACCTGCAGCTTTGCCCTTATAAATCTTGCTTTTGCATGCTGGTAGTTATTGTGATGTTCTTGGCTTGGCCTGGTCTCTGCTATCTTTCTGGATGTTTCTACTTCGTTATGTAAATTTTCTAGCTCATTACTTCAGTATGGATTATAATGCTTACGGGCACCTCTTGGTATTGATTCTCCTGCTGCCTTTAGTACGCATTTGTTAAATTCTTTAACTAATTTGTTTATATCCTGGTCTACGCTGAGGCTATCAAGCAGTATACTGGTACGGTGCTTGAACATTGTCCAGTCAGCCTTCTTGTAGTTCCACCTTGGCAGCCTACT